CTGGACTTCCTAAAGTTTACATTTTTCACATCTTCAATTCTTCAATTTTTCGATTTTTTAAGATTACGATTTTTCAATTTTGCTTTTTTAGATTTTCGATTTCTCAGTTTTCCAATTTTTTAATTTCTCAATTTTTTGAATATTTCTTTCAGTTATGAGATTTTTCAATATTTCACTTTTTCGACTTTTCGATTTTTGAATTGACGGATTTTTTTGATTTCTCGATTTTTTACTTTTTGGATTTTCAATTTATTGTAAACTTTAGATTTTTCAATTCTGCGACTGTTTAATGCTTCGATTTCTCAATTTTTAAACTTTTCGATGTTTTAATATTTCATTTTTTTAAATTCTAGGTTTTTCGATATCTCGAGTTTTCAGTTCTTCTATATTTCAATTTTTCAATTTTTCGATTTTTTTAATTTTAATTTTCGATTTTCCAGTTTTTCTTTTCTAAAATTTTTCGATTATTCAATTTTTTATTTTCTCAATTTATCGAATTCAGATGTTTCGTTGTTTTGATTGTTCAATTTCTCAATTTTTCAATTTTTAATTTCCTTTTCGGCTTCCGACTCCTCAATTTCTCGATCCTCCGATTTTTCGATTTCTCGAAGTCTCAGTTTTTGAATTTTTCGATGTTTCGATTTTTGGGTTTTTCGGTTTTTCGATTTTTTTCTTTTGAGCTTTTCAATTTCTGGATTTTCCAATTTTTCAATGTCCCGATTTTTCAATTTTTCAATTTTTCAAATTTTTGCGTTAAATTTTCAGTTTTCTGATTTCTCAATTAATCTATTTTTGATTTTCCCACTTCTCAAAGTTTCGATTTTTCAGTTCTTCAATTCTTCGATTTTTCGACTTCGCTTTATTGGTTTGTCGATTTCTCAATTTTTTGATATTTCTTTCGGTTTTGATATTTTTCAATACTTCGATTCTTTCATTTTTCGACTTCAAGATTTTTCTATTTTTTATTTTTGGATTTTCAGTTTTTTGTTTTTTATTTCAATTTCTCAATTTTTCAACTTTTCCGTATTTTAATTTTTAAAATTCTAGATTTTTCGGTTTCTCGAGTTTCCAGTTCTATATTTTAATTTTTTAAATTTCCGAATTTTTAAATTTTTTGAGACCTCAATTTATTGACATTCGGATGTTTCGATGTTTTGATTATTCAATCTCTCGCTTTATCAATTTTTCCATATTTAAGTTTTCGATTTTTCGATTTTGGCCTATTTCGGTTTCTCAATTTTTTGATTTTTCGACTTCTCGATTTTTCGACTCCTCGATTTTTTTGTCTTTTGATTTTTCGATTTCTCGATGTCTCAATTTTTGAATTTTACAATGTTTCGATTTTTCGATTCGATTTTTTGCTTTTCGGTTTCTCGATTTTTCGATGTTTCGATTTTTGGTTTATCCGATTTTTCAATTGTCCAATTCGACTTCCGATTCGTTGATTTTTCAGTTCTTCAGTTCTTCAATTTTTCTATTATTTAGGTTTTTGTTTTTCACTTTTTCGATTTTTTAAGTTTGCGATTTTTAGACTCTGCTTATTTGACTTTTCTGTTCCTCAGTTTGTTAATTTCCTAATTTTTTGATATTTCGTTCAATTTTGTGATTTTTCAGTTTTTCGATTTCTCAATTTAAACTTTTCAATTTTTAAATTATTAATTTTTTTCGATTTTTTGAGTTTTCAGTCCTTCTATATTTCAATTTTTCAATTTTCGGAATTTTTAAATTTTCGATTTTCCAATTTTTATTTTTTTGATTCTTTTATGTTTCGATTTCTCGATTTTACAATTTTTCCATATTTGAATTTTTTAGTGTTTTAAATTTTCGATTTCGAGGATTTACTGTGACACAGTAGTCATCAGTCATTACTCATAAAGAACGATTATTGCTGTGCGTTAAAATGCCTACATACTGATAAGCACGTACATACAAGACACATTTAAGGCTGTTTTAAGTCTGCTAGATATAATTTTTGCAATTTTAAATTTATTTCTTGATGTCTAAATTGTATATATTTAAATGGTGATGAATATTTTGTGATAAAATCTTAGGATAAAATGCATTTTAGTTTCAAAGATAATATGTATTTAATGATTTGACTACTGCTAATGAAAAAAATACGTAAGAAGATGTTCATATTGAATTAATTTGGTGTTCATAGTTTGATGATAACTCATAGTTATTCTGGAGGCAATTTAGATGACTTGTTACTTATTAATTAAAGTAGTGGTCGTTTAATTTCGTACCTTTAAAGTGGACGAAGGGACGCATATTTGTTAGCCATGCAGTTCATGGATAATAGGTATACCGCGATAATATTAAATTTTTGTTACCTTAACCTTGAAACAGGTATGCACTACATATACATATATTACATATATGTAAAGTCTTCAACACGTACGTTTGCTTATTTTGTGACTGCTCCCCGTACAACGTAGTGATTAATACGTCCGTTTACTACCTTATCGACATCACGTGCTTACGGATTATTTTTACCCCCTTTCGTAAGGTACCGCCACTTCATAGTGAAGCGAGTGAGATGTAAAATGTATATTCATTCTTTTCTACATGGGAAAGTGATTGTCCGTATAGGTTGTCCAACTATAATATACTTAAACAATGCTTTAGCCTAGGAGATCACAATTTGTTGGTAATACTCGACTGTGACTCTAAATGAATCGACGCCTATTTAGTTAAAAATTTGTCATCGGAGACTACAATATAGAAATTAAGAAAATGTTTCGCGCGATTTGGTTTACCTGTTACAGTCATATCTGATAACGGCACGTCGTTCGTCTCCGACGAAATCGAATATTTTTTTCATAATAACGGTATAAAACATGTTGAAACACCACCTTACAACCCGCAAAGCAATGGTCCAGCTGAATGTGATGTTCAGATAGTCAAGAATAAACTGAAGTCAGCATTAAGCGATCCTAATAATCGTAATGTTTATTCAAACCTTATTCATTATGTAGATTTTTGATAATTCATAACAATATCCCTAATAGTACCTACTTCAAGTGAAATACCAGCTTAATTAATGTTTGGCAGAAAATTGCGACTACGTTTAGATTTGCTAAAATCACGCTCTGCAACAGTAGAAACGACTTCCTGTAAGAAAAGATTTAGAAATTTTGAGATAGGTGACTCAGTCATGATCCATGATCATAGAAATCTTGTAGGGAACATATTTTGATCAGTGGTCGTCACGTTTCCGACAGCGAGGGAAGTATTGTCTAAACTCTTTAGACCAATTTTTTTTAATGCATCTTTCAGACCCAGTTCGTACTAAAACTCGTGTTATGAACTGAGTTCAAATTTCCCGCGCCGTTCACTTTACTGGTCAAATATTTAACCGTTTCCATACATTCTAGGGAGCCTGTATAATTCTGATTTTTTTTTTTAATCTGGATATTTAGGATAAAAACTCGACACGGATTCGTAAACTTCACGTACGGGACTATCTTATTTTATTTAATTTAAAACCCATTTAATATGTGTAATTAAGGTGACGATGGGGATGATTAGTTAGTTTGGTTAGCGTTTTATCATCTACATGATATTCATAAGACATATATAAAATTTGACAACAGTTGGCAACAATTGATCCAGTAGTTTGGAGATTATCTGTTTACCAAAAATTGATACAGACGGGGGACAGACAGACGGAAACCAGATGGACTCGATTACAATACTTCCTTACCTTACGCTCAGGAAGTAAAAAATCAAAATTGTGTTACGTTTTGCAATTTAACTTTGAAACTGCAGAACCGAATGCTCTGAAATCTTGTAAACGTTTGACGAATATCATAAACATAGTAAATCGTTAATCAAAATCTTTCCGTTTATCCCATTCAAAAAAAAAATGATGATATCATCACAAAATTTTATAAAATAAATCTAAAATATGTACAATATTAAAGGTCTAGAGCTACTTATGATTTATTAATGCATCTATATTTTTTTAAATTGCCTATGTAATGTGACTCGAAAAAATTGATGAATAAGACGACATGTTTTATTGCTCTAGTGCCCATTCCATTTTCCTGAAAATTTGGGGATACGGAGGATTAATAGTATTGCACTGCACCTATTCAAATTGATACATATGTTCTTGCTAAAATGTTGATCAACAATTTTTGTATGGAAAAACCCACTAGAAACAAATGCATACGATGCTTCTTTACCTGTACTTTAACAATCCACGCATATATTAATTTTATCTCATATGGGTGAGGAGCCGGGTGGGTTAGTTAGCTGCGTGCTTGCCCGCAGCGCCTCTGGGTGTTGTGTATGTCCTGTTTCCCTGTAATTGGGCCTGTAGCCTGCCGGGGAATCATAATAGAATAAAAAACAGTAATAAATCATCGAAAAAATTCTCAAAGTTAAATTTGATAATTTTTTTAAGCTTTATTTGTTCTACTGTCCTTTAAGGGCGAGGGAAATTCTGTCGAAATAACCTTCGACCATTTTTTTTATAATTGCCAGTTGCTTTAATAAAATATCATAACATTTATCCATCCCTGTTTGGAATTCTTGTACCTACCTACGATAATTTTAACATTCTAAAATTGATAAAGCACAAGGCGCACAACATACTCGTTGCAAGCGTTATCTGTGCCATGTTATTTCAAATTACCAAAGTTGTTTAGCATTTCTTGAAAACTATGCATGTATAGGTTGTACAACAATATTTATGATCAATCGTTGCACAAATGGTTTCACTAGGTGTCCAAATTTTACAAAATTTGCCATTCACCTTTTCAGTAACATTTAATATTCAGGCAAAAATACACCAAATGTCGGTTTGACAGTTTGTTTACAGTTTCTCTCTCACCAACCACGCAGACAAAATCCATACATGCCCATTTTGACTTTATAAACAGTTGCAGATCCTTTCAACAAACACCATACATAAGTAATTTTAAAAGATTTTATTATGATTTACAAGTATGTAATTATTAATAATTACTATTTAATATAATTTACAACATGAGAATAATGTTTTCCTGTATAAATAAACTGGGGTAAATATTAAAATTAAAAGTGCAGTCTTTTTTGGTCCACAGTTCATAATTATATAAATTTACTTTATTCTAGGATAGTAATATAAAACTGATGATCCAGGCAATTGCCAGTTGGATGCGTGAAGTTCAATTAACTGCAGTAAAGTACGACGAACCGCAGGAGAACCAGCGCTTGCTAAAAAACCATCCCTTACATTATCTAATAATTGTTCTAGTTGCTGCGGAAGTTCCACTTCTAAGTCCCTTCCGATTGAAGTTAGAACGAAGAATAAACACTCGGTTTCCGACAAACATTTAATGGGTAAACAAACGCAGGCTTGACAGCATTTGGCTAAAATGGAAAGTAAAACTAAATCAGGTTGAAGAGATTCATACTGTTCTTTAATTTGATGTCGTTTTAACTGACCACACATTTCTGTTAAAAACCACATAAAAGCTGTAAATCTAGTACCGTCACCAGCTTTAATACCACGTAAAATTTTATCCCTTTCTTGATACCACTGTTGACACATGTTTAGTAACGATTCTAAGAAAGTTTGATTCGTTGCTTTTTCTATTATCGAGATAGATAATTTAGCTCCTGTTTCACAGTATCGTATACCTTCAACTACACGTTCCATTATTATTTTTACCAAATCCATCACAGTACGTGAAGATAACTGATCTGGATCTTCAACAGCCATTTTTAAATTTCCTTGATATTCAGAAGAAAATATCTCAAAATTGATTTCTTCCTTAGCCAAACTTCTTAATTTTGCTGCAAGATTTTGGGAATCCGTTGCACCTAAACTTTTGGAACGCTTTAGATTTTGGCTGGTATTGTTGTGCTGATAATTATTATTCCAGTTATTTTGTTGAAATGAATGATTTTGTCCTGTAAAAATGGGATGCGACATCATTTCATTTCCAAATTGATAACTAACTCTTGGGACGTGATGGAATATATGAGACGTCGATGTTGAATGCAGCAAGGGTAAAGGCAGAGGTGTAGAAATAAGTGGAATTATTGTAGGACTGACATGCTTTAATATGTTTCCACTTGATTTTGAGTGTTGTAAAGGCACTGATTCGAAATTTGCTGTTATATTTCCGCTAGATTTAGAAGGTTGCAATTCATGACTCATTGTAAATTCTTTGGCGTGCACATTTAACTTTCCCGTGTTGGCAACGTCACTTCTTACATTTGGTGGTCTGTAGATTTCCATTGTGGGCTTGCCTTTAATCGTGGCCATGGTTTGACTTCTTCTTTTTTGTGGATCTTTATTTGGTCTAATAAAACTTCTTTCACGTGTTACTACCACAGCAGAAGAAAAATCGGTTTTCTGACTACGTTTTAACGGAGTACCTTGAGACATAGTGTCTTCACTGTTGTCATAAACACACGCACTAATACTAATACTGTAAATAACTTTTTACAATGTTTGTGTAATACCAACCACGCAGTCACCAGTTTTGGCAAGCCAAGGTTGTGATAGACGTTTTTTATTTCGTAGGCCCCTACACGACACTTTCATATTTTACGCAATGATAACTAAACAGTAATTTGATCCGCGTACCTCGCTCAAATTATTAATGTGTAGTCGTGAAAAATAACTTCACTTTGGCTCTGCCTACATTCATGTGAGAACAACGAATAGAAAGCTAGGCTGACTCTGTATATTTAGAATGTGTATTTATATCAGAGATGCATACATGACCGAGATTATAAATAGTTATAACGTATATTCGTAGTACTTAACTCTAATTAAATAAATGTGACAGCGTATGAAAAAAATAAATTTAACATTGCATTATTGAGGATGTAATAATATCAAATAAATATTACTCATTTCTGAGTCAACACTGTATGAATTAGTCGTCTGCATCACTAAGAAAAATAACCAAATAAATTACAAAAATAGTAGTCACTTTACAGATATGGGTAGGACCTGGTTAATTGACCATTAAATTAAGGAAATGATATCACGATTTTAATTGCAATATTGCCTAGAAAAATAATTTACCGAAAGTGAGATCTTTCGTCATCTTTTATTTAAACGAGAAGAAGTGTAATTCAATTTCAGATGCTAAACGTTGAACAGTTTTTAAAATCGGTAGCATCTAGATATACGGTGTGTTGTAAAATGAATAATTGGTAAATTAATTTCCATCTTTAAGAAAATATGTTAAATATGTACTACTCCCTTCAATTAATCTTTAAATCAATGCTTATACATTAAAAATTGGTGGAAGGTTACCTGTTTCGACAGACCTTCCCTCGCCCATGAAGCATAGTCCAACAAATCCCGCGTTTCGAAAAAATTATAAAATTTGATTTTGCTGTCCGTTAGTTGATGACTACCACCTTGTCGAGTTTTTGAGAAGATCGGATTGTATTGAGTTCGATTGGTTAGTTCTCCACCTTTATTTCCTTTTTGAAAAACGTCACTAAACAATGGACACCTTCATTACCCCTTCACGCCAATTCTCTTGCAAGTATCAAAAAAATTGGTCTAAAGAGTTTAGACAGTACTTCCCTCGCTGTCGGAAACTTGACGACTGCATGCCTATTGCGTTTTTTTTGTCATTACATTTTTGTAGTGGGAATTTAAAAAAAAAGCTGCGATGACGTCATCAACATTTTTGCAAGGACACGTATATCAGTTGGGATAGATGTAGTGTAATACTAAGAATAAAATTATTGTATTCCCAAATTTTCGGGAAAATGAATTGGGTCGTTTTGAATATTGATTTGTAATAATCAATAAAATAACGAAACAATTTACTCACGTATACGGCGCCGGCGTGTACTAGGAGAGGCAACTGAAAATCGTTTATGTAAAAGCATTCTTAATTTAAGACGACAAGCGTAACACTTGCTGAGATTGTATACGTGAGAGACAAACAGAGAAACTGTAAATAAAACCGATGGTCGTCTAGAAATTTTTATTGCTTCGACTTCCGCTTATTATATAAAACATTGGGTTTTATTTTAATTTTTGACGGTGGAATTCGCAATTGGTTGGTTATAAACATGTCTATATCACATTCGCGGAACCTAGTCAGCGCACAAAACAAATGCACGTCTGTAATGTCAAAGTAAATGTAAATAAGCGTGCTACCCTTATATTTCAACCGAGTTTTTACTTTACAAAATTTTGTGTCGACCAAATTGGGTTGGTCCAATGTAATACTAATAATAAGTGTTGCCTTTAATTTAATCAATAAAATAAATTGACTTATTCATTAATTTTTTTGAGCCACCTCTTAAGCAAATCTAAAAAATATGAATGGAATGATAAATCACAAGCACAAACTCATCATATTTTTTGCATTTTAGATAGGATTTATTCAGCAAAATTTAGGGGTGACGTCATCAATTTTTTTAGGGGGGATGAACAAATACATTTTGAACAAAAGTTTACCATGCTTATGATAACTTTAAAACATCTCCAAGATTTCAAAGCATTCGGTTCTGTAATTCCTGATTAAATCGATAAAATAAATTCACGCATTCATTAATTCTTTTGAGTCACCCTGTATATGCAAATTCAAAAATATGAACGGAATGATAAATCACAAGTACAGACTCATCATATCTTGTACATTTTAGATAGGATTTATTCAGCAAAATTTTGGGGTGACGTCATCAATTTTTTAGGGGAGATGAGCAAATACATTTTGATAAAAAATTTACCATGCTGTAAGGATCCAATTCGAATTTTTAAATTTCAAACGAATTCCGCGCGCACAAGAAACGGTTGGTAAGAAGAGAAGGTTGGCAACCAACCAACCCCAAAGAAACAGACATGCGCAAGAAAATGTTAGGGTGATTTTGTCTCGTGTAAAATCACGCACTTCCCTCTGATCGCTTCGAACAAACGGTCGACTTCTTTTCGAGCGCTTCGAGCAACAGGTTGTATTTTTAACTGTGAATTATTCTGTGCCTTTTGCTGTTGTTTTTGCGTTTCCAGTGTTGATCCGTTCCATTGGAAAACCTAGCAGCCCCCGTTGAGCCATTGGGTGTTCCTGATTTCTCATCGTTCTTACGACGAGGTTTTTGCGTTCCTTTTGGCGGTAAGCCGTGTCGAAATCTTCGCATCTTTGGAGAGGTATGTTTTGAACACGTTTTCGACTGGGTCCTGTTTCGCGGCGAGTTTCAAGCCCCGACGATACTTCTGACCTCGTGACACAGCGACGCGTGCGCTTGTTTTTCCACTAATCTCGTTTTTTTTATCTTTCATTTAAAATCCATCGCAGTAGGGCTTTACAGGGAGTGATTTTTATTTCGGGCCATGCTTTATTTAGCTATATTTGTGAAATCTGTATTTTGGATGGCGGCAAACGAGTTGTTATTTTCACCGTTCTTTGTTCAGGCAGCAGCCATTTTGAAGCGTCCATTTGTTTCTTTTAATCGAGCACATGTTTTAACTGAATCTATTGAACAAAATAACAACATTGTGGGTCATGGGGGGGACGTGCCTTATTCTTTGGATTTAGCACATCGTTTATACAACGCCACAGGATTCATCGTATTTTTGCATCGCATATTTTCGACGCCTATTATTTGGAATGACGAATTCGTCCAACGCCATTTTGCAACTGCAGATTGTCTGCCATGTTTGTTTATGTGTTTTGTTTGGGGAAATGTATGTGTAATAATGGCCCACAATGCAGCTAAATAATTTCACGTTTGAATTTTAACCAATAACTTGACTGGACACGAATTAATATTAATCACATGTAAATCTGTTAACTTTACAATCTTTCACCTCATGCAATTTGTCTTTGTCTCACAATTTTAGCTTCAGCAATTTTCTTTGCTGTATAATTTGAAGTGAACGTAAATTTCCATGCTCTGCAGTTCTGACCTAACATGATATTTAATTTGTACAAGCTTATTTCACACCAGATCTTGTTTTTTTAAATCTTTGCTAAGTTTTGCTCATGTAAATATTTTGTTGATGAAAGTCTTTGTCCTGCAAATTATCTGATGTCCAATTTTAATCTCAATTAAGAATTATTTGTTGTTGAATTTTCGTAAGAGTGTGTGGCGAATTTAAATGTTGTTTATTGCTCTTTGTTGAAACTTTAACACTTGTTCGGTTGTCATTTAATATTAGAGTCATAGAGATTGAACATTTAAATGAAATTGAAGGTAAATAACACATAACTCGTAGTGTACGTGGGGCGCGCGACTCCTTCTCAAACTGACGGGATTAATCGCGTCACCTGCACAAGTCCGCGGGTTTTGTATAGCTTCAGGGGGCGATCGGGGGTTTTTAACGCTGCCGGTTTCGTGATAGCCGGGACCCCACTACGGATCTGCGATCGTAACCGCCTCGTTTCGCAGGGCACGTTCGTAATGGAGAGATGCGCGTGAGCAGGCGTTGGTGTAGATAGAATCACCGTCGTGGGGGAGAACAGTGACGATCAGGAGTCCCAACCTCTACTTGCGCTACAACGCCCCCTTTGGGTATTTTTCTGTGCTCGTAAATGAAATTGATATATTTTGTTCTATATTTTGTTCGATCGCCACACTCTCATAATGATTCGGGTTCTGCCATCCAATTTACATATGTGTAGGTCTTGTGTTTGTTCGGTTTTCATATGTGTATGTCTGTCAATTCGCGAGTGTTTTTCTTTGACATATCTTAAGGTGTTTGACATGTAATATGTCGGTGAATAAAACCCCAGGGGGTTTTGGGGAATGAAGACCGATGATGCCTTGGCCCTGCGGACTCGCCAGAAGGGCAAATCGAGCGTCTGTCGTTCTTCGTTTCTTTTTCCTCCTTAGGAAGGCTCCTAATTTTGTCTATTATTTCTTGCGCTCTCGACAGTGTATGCACTTGTATGAAAGAACTTCTTCCCGCCATTTTTCAAAACCACAAAAAAAAAAACACACAACGTAGGTTCTCATTTGTTAGACGATCACAGCCAAGGCCAAACTTGAATTTTTGAATTTTTTTCGCGGGCTTTTCAAACTGTTTCAAGGTCAAATTTTAAGGCGGGAAGTTTGGGTTATCACAATGCTTATAATAAGTTTAAAACATCTCCAAGATTTCAAAGCATTCGGTTCTGTAATTCCTGATTAAACCAATAAAATAAATTCATGCATTCATAAATTTTTCTGAGCCACCTTTATATGCAAATCCAAAAAATATGAATGGAATGATAAAGCACAAGTACAAACTCATCATATTTTGTACATTTTAGATAGGATTTATTCAGCAAAATTTTGGAGTGACGTCATCAATTTTTTAGGGGGGATGAACAAATACATTTTGAACAAAAGTTTACCATGCTTATGATAACTTTAAGATATCTCCAAGATTTCAAAGTATTCGGTTTTGTAATTCCTGATTAAATCGATAAAATAAATTCACGCATTCATTAATTTATTTGAGTCACCCTGTATATGCAAATCCAAAAAATATGAATGGAGTGATATATCACAAGTACAGACGCATCATATTTTGTACATTTTAGATAGGATTTATTCGGCAAACTTTTGAGCTGACGTCATCAAGTTTTTGGAGGGGATAACCAAATATATTTTGACTAAAGATTTATGATACTCTTTAGAGCCTTAAAACATCTGCAACATTTCAAAACATTCGGGTTAGCAGATTCAAAATTAAATTGCAAAATGTTGTTTTATAATTTTGATTTGGACGT